ACCGTTAGAAGATGGACTCCCTCGGGAATGACCCAGAACGGAAAATTGATGAATGGGGTGTGCTCTATTCAACCTAGGGCAACCCTATATCATAGGAGATTGATGGAATCGACTCCCTCGGGGATCACCCAGACGATATAGGATGAAGAGTGACCCAAACACGCCAATAATGGGCTCTAAGGGGATTTTCTCTCTCCTATGTCAAAAGCTCAAAACATGAAAATGGAAACCCAACTCATGCAATTCATGAAAACATCCATCAATTAAGTAAAATCATCAATCAAACATGGAATTTGTCACATACATCAACAACAAATCAAAACCTAGACCTAGGATTCTTAAACCCAAGAGAAGAGGGTGATTTTAGAGAGAGAGGAGAGAGAGATTACAAATTGGAGCCCAAGATCTTCTTCTTCTAGGCTTGATTCCTTGCTTCCAAGCTTGGTCAATGCCTTCAATTAAGCTCCACGATCACTCAAAAAACTCTCTCTCTCTCTCTCTCTCTCTCTCTCTCTCTCACTAGAACTCCCCTTTGGTGTTTTGGGTCAAAACCCTAGAGAGAGAATCAATTTCTTATCCAAAAACCAGCTTCTCTTTCTCTCTAACCGCTGTTGTCTTTATATTTGCCCGAAAATGCCGACTTCACGGTCTGGGGCTTGAGTTCACAGTCTTAGCGACTGTGAACTGGTTGGACTCCAGTGAGACACGAAACTGCTTTGGAATTTAGCCACTTCACGGTCTGGGGTGATTATTATGGTCTTAGAATCGTGATAAATGAGTCCAGACCGTAAAGTCACGCACTTCATTCCCCGGGGGTGATTTTCACGGTCTCAAGGCATGACATTTGCCTCCAGCCCGTGAACAGTGCTCAACCTCTACTTTTTGGCTCTTTTGGACCTCCGAATGACCCAAAACTCGTCCCGGACCTTCCCACCTATACTAGGACCTGAAATGTGTCAAAAGAAGCACAACCTAGAGTAAAATAGGTTGAGGGAAATGAGGGCTAAAATATGTGCAATTGATCCCGAATCAAGATGATAACACTAGCAATGGCTAGTGAAGAAGCAAGTTGGTTGAAAGGTTTGTTGTCAGAGATTCCCCTACGGGAAAGGCCGGTGCCTCCGATATTGATCCATTGTGATAGCACCGCGGCTATTGCTAAAGTTGAGAACCGATTCTATAACGAAAAGGGTGGATCATATAAGATCCAAACAGAATCTAGTTGATCCTTTGACGAAAGGATTACCTAGAGAGATAGTACAGAATACCATCAAGGGTATGGGACTTATGCCTATTGGACCATGGATTACAAGTGACGGTAACCCGACCCGATAGAATGGAGAACCCAAGAAACGGGTTCAATGGGTAATAACAAGTTATGAGTAATATTGCGAAAAGTTCATTCATAGTGAAGCATGAATCCCAAAGACTAGAGGTTGAGTTAATAGAAACTCTTTAATGAGGTCTATACTCCATGTGGAGTTAAGTACTTTACTTTGGGGTACTTCTGATAGACTCACATGTGTGACTGTGGAAGTTGGGCCGCTCCCTATGGAACTTTGGAGGCACAAAGTTGCTAGAGCGTTCACTAAACCAGGATAACGTGCATGGTCATAAACGCAGGGCAAAGAAAATAACACATCTCAATGAAAAGATCTGGTTTGCTACACTGTCTGAGATAGGGTTCAAGACTACAAGTCACCCTTATGAAATCGGAAGAGTAACCACTACGCTAAGGTTCAATTATTCGCGATACCTTTAGCTTATGTCCGATCTTATGAAACTGTTGATGCTCAGAGATAGTTTCAAAACTATTCAAGTGGGGGATTGTTGTAAATATAAGTGAATAGTTTTAAAAACTATAGGTCCCAAGGTTAGAATACCACATTGGTGGGAGAACTCCTACCAAAGGGGTATAAAGATTGGGTTCTCTCACCTAATGGCATGCCCCTTGGGGTGACCCATTTTGTGGGAGAGGGAGGACCTAACGGACCACCACACACAAGCGCGTCGTCTGTCTGTTCGACCGGTCGGTCACTCGAGCGGGCGGGCAAGTGGGTGGACCGACCAGGGACTGACTTATATTTTTTTAGAAAATTCCAAATTAATTATGAATTAATTATTTTATATCCTTAACCGATATAGAGATTATTAACTCAAGGAATATTCGAGAGATAATTCGGCCATGAATTATCTTACCGATGCGGTTTAATTAAGGAAGTAATTATCTTCTTTGTTAGGAGTTATTCCCCAAGTCAGAGCGTATATTCTTAGGGGTTTCGGCTCCTATAAATAGTCGTCTTCCTAGCCTCTCTAAACACACCACAAATGACATGAGCGAGAGAGTGTTCAAAGAGCTCCGATTTTCGCACAAAACCGCCGTGCATCCAAGAGGAGCTGTTTTATCCCGGAGACGACCGGTTGATAGTCTGCTATGCGCAATGAAGGCAATGTCGCAAACGTTTTTAAAGAAAATGACCTAGTCCGCGACTCACCTCCAAATTCTGAAACCATTCTCTTTGTTATTCCGTTTCTAACAACGTGTATGATTATTTTTACCCTCCTTGATGTGATAATATATTTATTTGTCATTTTTTTACTTGTATTTACAGAACACCCAAAAATTTTACTGAAGCAAGCAGTCGTGAAATCCACTAATGGTCTCCACTTAGATCTTTTCAAAATGATACATTATGTTAATTGAACGTCAGAGCAAGTCATACTAATTGAACCACCTTTTGTTTGTTCTAAATCTTGTTACGGTGTTTTTTTTTTACTAAGGTAGATATTTAATAGATAGGGAATTACAAAGAAGTGAAAAATAAATAGCGGAAATCAATCAAACGCTGATTAACCGATGCAAGAGTCGTTTTCGCCACGCAATGGGCAGCCCTATTAGTTCTACAAACAAATCGAATAAACGTGAACGAAGCCTTCAGCAGCCGAACCTCCTCAAGGATTGCTCCACCCCGATCATGCTCTATGACATTCTCCGTTATTCGCCGAATCACCATTTGTGAATCACCACATAAACAACCAGAGACAATGCCTCGGGTTAAGCACCAATCCATTGCATCTCTCAAGCAAAAGAAGTTTAGAAAGGCTAGAATTTAGAAAGCAGCAAATTCAATTAAAAAACGTGCAGTTATGATAAGGGGAATGTAAAAAAGTGTAAAGGCCTAAAGGGAGATTATGAAAACCGTAACACAAAAAGAATTAAGAAAAAAATAAAAGAATAATGCTTAGCTCGTGACGGTTGAAATGGGCTGGGATTTGTAACCGTCTGAAGGGAACTCGACGGAACTGCACCTCGGATCGCCCCGCTGCCGTTGAGGGCCACCACTGACCTTGAACTGTATCTCCAACGCCGTGATGAATTCTCCCATGGTCTCCAACAGAATTTGGCATCAGAACGGGTGCCAGCGGCACTCCGTGGCGGACATCGAGAAACGCCGCCGCCATGGCTGCATCATCGAATTCCACTACCACCATAATAGAAGACAAACAGACTGCGAAGGAGAGAGCTCTGGATTGAGATGTGTCAGGGAGTTGAGCACAATCCGAAATCCCACCACCAAGACGGAGGGGGGAATCGACAACAAAGCCGCACTAAGGCGGAAAAGCCAGAACCGGCAGCCGCACAGAAACGGTTATTATATCTTCCTTGGTTTGACGAGAAAGGATTGCTGATTTGCTACCCTTTACTTTTGCCCTTTTCCTCCAATACTCGTCGTTCATGAATGTGATTCAACTCTCGTGATGAAACTTCTAGATTCGGCCGCTCAACGCACCACACGACACCTCCATTTTCAGTGGAGGATTTGATTCCTCTTTGAGATTTTGCTCTTTGAGAGTTTGGATAATTTTGGGTGGACGGTTTTTTTGGCGATCGCTGGTGACCAATCTTGTTACGGTGTTGATAAATGCAAAAGTACTCTGATTTGTAGTTTGTACAAAAAATTGCTCTAAAAATACAATATTTTTACGTCGGCTAAAAGATAAAAAATTGTAGCAACAATTTTTTATTTTTATTATAAATAAAAATAAGATGCATTTTTAATTTGACTATGTTATTCTGAATATCGTTTACAGAATATAGATAAGGACGTGAGTAATAAAATTGAGAAATTGAAGGAGGCAAGTAATTGTGGTAGGAAGAGATGCTCGATTTGAAATCTCGACTTCTATATGGCCATGATGTCTCTACTTCAACACCTAAATTGGAAGAAAAATTATTAAGGGGAAAAGAACTTGATAAGTGATTGCCTCTAGATCCACCTTGCTCATCTCGTTGAGTCTAGGTCCAACTGGATTTTACAGACCATCGCCATACAATTGTGATTTGGTGGTTCAAAGGGTTTCGCTTCCTAAATTGCAATGTCTCGATTAATTAGATCTAATGGGAGGGTAATAAGTGTTGTGACCTTTTAGCTAATTGAGGGCATAGTTTACCTTTTGGTATTCATGATGTTGTTGAGATTGATCTTGTTTTTGTCCATTAATTTATGTATAACGCTCAACAAATTTTTGAGCCTCAATTGATTTTGAATGAAAACAAAAAAAAAGATGTATCTTTTTTGTATTCCCTCGAACCCTAATTTTCTGTCATCACAAAAAGTCTTCTTTCTCTCGTCGACTGATATTGCAATATTTATTTGGTTGATCTTGGTAATACCATGAGCTTATGACAAAAACAAAGATATTGCTGTCTTTATGTTTCCCAAATTTTAGCGACTAAGTAATGCTTATTTTGTGATTTATTTTCCATGTTTTCAAAGCTTTCCTTGATAGCATGATTGTCTTTTGTTACTGTTGCACAAAGAAGAAAGAGATAAAAAGCAACTGAAAAAAGGAAATTGCCGTATTGTATTTTACTATACTACCCATCATCCTTCCGTTCCTGCACATTTGCAGACAAGGGTGAAAGGCGTCATTTTCTGTGGGAACCCGCGGAATATCGGAAATCCAAAAGAGTGATACTTTTGTATTGTTGTTGTAAAAAGACGACGACGGGCTCGAGACAGGGCACCTTGATTTCACTTTCACATATGAGTCGCGACTGAATCTCCGCTAGTAGAAGGTAACTGGAGTTCAACCATGGAGCCAAAGTTGGTATTCGCAGTTCTTCTGCTCATTTCCGTAGCTGTGTCGGCCGAATATGTGAGGCCTCCACCGCGCAAAACCCTTGATTTTCCGTGGAGTGAGAAGCCGTCTTCCCATCCGCAGCAGGTAAATAAATAGACATTCAAGCTTACTGTTGTTGATACTGCTTTCTGGGTTTGTTTGATATCTGGGTGTTTGATGAAATGCCACTGTTGCACTGTTTCGTTTACGGTTTTGGTCTGATGCGGTGTCCGTTTCCTAAAGTCAAGTTCAATTTTGATCTAAGCATTTGAGTGAGGATTTTGGGTTGGAATCAAAGAAATATCATGCATGACAGTAGTGAAAATTGCAGTTTGGTCTTTAGAGGTTGATCCAATTAAAGATCTGCTGCTTGAATTGGCTATGTTTCAGCTTTTCCTTCAAGTTCGTGTTAGGAAATCATTGGTTCCTCTGTTACTTCATAGGCTTCATCTGGTTGCACAACTGTGTGATACTTGATGCAGGTGCACATCTCTTTGGCTGGCGATAACCGCATGCGAATCTCGTGGGTCACGGATGATAAATCTGCTCATTCAACCGTGGAGTATGGAACTTCACCTGGGAAATACAGTGCCAAGTCTCGTGGAGAGAGCACGTCCTATAAGTATCTGTTTTACAGTTCAGGAAAGATTCATCATACTATCATTGGTCCACTTGAGCCCAACACGGTGTACTTCTACCGGTGTGGTGGACAAGGTGTCGAGTACCAGTTGAAGACCCCTCCTGATCAGTTCCCAATTACATTTGCTGTGGCTGGTGATTTGGGGCAGACTGGCTGGACTGAATCGACCTTAGACCATATTGACCAATGCAAGTATGATGTGCATCTACTTCCTGGAGATCTGTCGTATGCTGATTACATGCAGCACCGTTGGGATACTTTTGGGGAACTGGTCGAGCCATTAGCCAGTTCAAGGCCGTGGATGGTGACACAAGGGAACCATGAAAAGGAAAGCATACCACTTTTGGTGGATGGTTTTGCATCCTATAACTCCAGATGGAAGATGCCATATGAAGAGAGTGAATCGAGTTCAAATCTTTACTATTCTTTCGAAGTTGCCGGTGCTCATATTGTTATGCTTGGTTCGTATGCTGATTATGACGAGTACTCAGATCAATATCATTGGCTGAAGGTTAGTGTTCTTGTACACATGCCATAGTTCAATGCTAAGTTATGGCAATCCAAGTTGGGAAAGATTATTTCTTGCACACTAGTCAGTTATCTACCACTGGTGTTCCTTTGCCTTCATACTTAGTACTGTTTAGTGGGTTACGGAATATTCCACCTATTCCTGGGTAGATCATCTATCATCTTTTTTTGTGTTTAGAAGGTAAGAAAATTATCAAAGCCGTCAAAACAGGGGATAGTGGAAGGAGAAGGATTAATTCTACTTTCGGGGAGAACCAGTCTTGAAAGTTTCAGTTATTCTTGGGTAGAACGCGTGTCACCTATCTTCTTGTGCTTAGGGAGTACTAAAACTCCATACCAGTAGGCAAAAGGGTGGACATGTGAAGGTGGGACATTAATTTTTGTGGTTACCATGTTTGTGTTTCAAACTGCTTCATTTACTTGTAAGTTCCATACAGAAGCTGAAATTTTGTTCTCTCCTGGACATGCCACGGCAGTTGAAAATGTGTATTTCCTTAATAATATCAAATATATATTTTGTTATTATAATTGTCGTTTCAATCATCTGCTCCTGTAGGCTGATCTTGCAAAGGTTGATCGGGCAAAGACACCCTGGCTCCTTGTGCTGTTGCATGTGCCTTGGTATAATAGTAATAAGGCTCATCAAGGTGAAGGAGATGACATGAAGGCAGCTATGGAGCCTTTACTCTATGATGCTAAAGTGGATCTGGTGCTCGCTGGCCATGTGCATGCCTATGAGCGCTCGGTATGATGCTGAAATTTCTCGTCTCTTTGTATGAGGTAGAAGTCTTTTCTTAATGCATGGTTATTTGACTTGCAGAAACGGGTACATAATGGAAATTCCGACCCCTGTGGTCCTGTCTATATAACCATTGGAGATGGAGGGAACAAAGAAGGTTTAGCTTCAAAGTACGTCTTCGCTTCTTGCTACCTCTTTGCTCCATTTACTCTTCCAGAATCTAAACACTGTTAATTTCACATACATCTATCGATGCTGAAGCTAGTGGCAAGCATGCTTGTTTATCTAGCACCAGTTGAAGGACGTGGCTATTATTTATTTCTCCAATTCATTCTTTTCTATTGGTAAACTGAAGGGTCGTTGCCATCTATTATTAACAGGTACATAGACCCACAGCCAAAATGGTCAGCTTTCCGTGAAGCAAGTTTTGGCCATGGTGAGATCCAAATTGTAAACTCTACTCACGCATTCTGGAGTTGGCACAGGAACGATGATGATGAACCTGTTAGATCAGATTCCATATGGATAAACTCTTTGGTGAGCTCAGGGTGCCTTAGTGAACAAAAGTTTGGGGCGAGGAAGAGCCTCCTGTAACCTGATGGTGTGAATCTTCTATATCAGTTTGCTTAAGTTTGAATGTTGTTATAATTCTGATGCTAGAGTGGTGAATGTAAATATGTCCGAATCATGTGTTTCTGTATCGAGCAGGTCTATGGACCGCCATCTCTGTTTGTCAATGGATATATAGCTTCTTCTTCAAATACCGAATATAAAGCTGATCTTGTAGGAATTTCGTATCAAGCTAATACACAAATGGATGGAATCACAGGCCATAAACCTGTCTTTGATTAACGCAAATGTCCTGAATTGTTGGATCAACAACCAGATCAGCAAATGGCAGTAACTTCGGTTCATCAATTACATGAAATGGGTGCAGATCACTGACTAGCTAAGAAACCAGAAGTGTTGATTTCAATGTCAACAATCTGAAGGCTCTGCTAAAACGGTTGAAGAGTCATGTCCCTGTTCCTTGTCAATCGTTCCCCTCCAGAGTATAATATGTTAATCCTTGACTAAAATGGGCACGCAAGGTACCAAGTCCTGCACTGCATCACAAGACATAGGAAGAAACACCCTCAGTAAGAGGCAACGAGTTACTCATAAAACTCATTCAAGCAATGCTGTCATAAGCTCGTCTCGTGAAAGAAGAAGAACCAGCCTTACCCTAAGCTTCACACCAATCCTTTTGCAGTCACTGGTACCCACATGAGTGCAATCAAGTCTCACAACGTCTTCTGTCGCGAATGCCTCCGTGACCCTATCTACTACATTCACGTACACACCATTCCTGGCTGCAAACATAAACCGAATCAATCAGACATCATCATGAAACAAAGACAGGAAGCACGCAAGCAGATCACTCACTCACTCAGCTTCATCAGTGGATAGGAATTTAGGCCTCTGTTCTTCATTTCTTTGGTTTGTTCAAACGTTAGTCCATCTGCAGCATTCTTGATGAGCCTTGGATATATAGGTGGATAAGGCTTCCAAAGCATCAAGGGAACAACAGGGTGGCTCTTGGGGTCATAGTTTCCCCCGGTACAATAGCAGGATATTGATGTGGCGGTATATGATCTTCCCTCCAGATTTGTCCTATCTATGCCATAAAACTAAAATGTTAAGAATTAGTCAAATGTTAACTTTCAGTTAGTAATTTTGTTAGTTTAATTGACTTGGCAACATGATATTGACTTGGAAGAGACTCATGAAGGTCAACATTACAAAATTTTAATATTTTAACTAAGAAAAAAGTTACAAAATTATTAACGATAACGTAAAAATGGCTAATATTTTGATTCATTATGAAAGGTTTCGATAATTAATAGAATTTTAATAGGTTTGGATAATATAAAAGAATATGGAAAAAATTTGGATAAAAAATAGACATTACCCTTTATTTTTCATTGTATTGTTCTATTTTTTATGGTTCATGTACGTCATACTATTATACATGAAATTTTTAATATCCTTTTACCTTTTTCATTTTCATCTATTGTTTGACCATTTTGTATCTTTCGGTTATGAAAAATTAATTTTATTAAATTATTTTTTTGGCGATCATTCTTTATTGATTTATAAATTTGTGCCGGACCAGCCATTTAAGATATAAACATAAGAGATGATTATTTCTTAGCATGAAAAAGTGGCAAAGAAATTAAATAAAAGGACGTAAACGAAAAAGTTAAAATAAGCAAATAGGCTTCAATTAATAAAAAAAAATAAGTGAATAGTTTTTCCTTTTCTCTCCCTTCTCGTTTGTTGGTATATGATAATAGAAAATACCACGATCTAGATCCCATGAATATCGTGCAATATCAGTCATCCGTGCAATTTTGATAGAGCAAGAAATGATATTAGCATTCATATAATCAATCTTCCGCTTATTCATTTAATTTACCTTGAAATTGTTCTAGCATAACCAACCAGAAACCGAACTATCGACTATCACTAATTTATTAAAATAATATTTTCAACAAATTAAATCACATATAAATACAATTATATTTAGTAGAGGGCTACATATCTCATGTAGAAAGAAATGTTTTTTTTTTTACTTCATAACAACATAGACGAATAGTGAAAGTTTCCGACTTCAATACAACTCAATTCTTTCTATCTTACAAAGTCCTCATTCATGAACTGGATTGATATATCAATTCAAATTGTAGTCGGTAAGAAAACAATTAGGTGAAAATGAAAGATTTAATTAGGGATCCAATTAAGCCGAAATCTACTATAAGAAAACAAACAAATGTCATTGCAAACATGTAGAAATTAAAAGAACATCAACATAGACAACACAAAGACCACCACCACTTTCTTTCTTATTAGTCACCCTTATAAAAACTCCACATATGTTTCCATCTACTTATAAGTTATAACCCCTGCTACATGCTACTTACTAACCATATCATCACCGTAAAGCTAGCTAGTAGCATGTCACTCATGAACACAATAAACATAAAAGCATCCTATGATGGAAGATGGTAAGATGACAACCCTCACAACTATGTTTTCCATTTCAGCATTCAAGGAATAAGGCTGCTATAGGCCTCCAAGAATAAATTATTCAACCCAAGGAGAGATGCTCCAAATCCAAGCAATTAACCTTTCCAATTATCTATTACTTATTTGCATAAAAGTATACACATAATAGAAAATCATAATACAAACTACCTGAAATTAAGAAGGAATAAATCAGTAGAATTGAGTCGGAAATTTACAACCCTGCCGCCATAATATGAAAGTAATTAAGAAAACAATGGGAAGAAGAGTACAACTTGGCCAGTAAACTACATTCATCCAAAGATGCATGGGAAGAGAGACCAGTCACCAACTGCAAATCAAGAGAAAAGAGGGAGAAGTCATCAAACTTTGGCTTGATTCTCTTTGTCTTCGCAATGATACGATGAACGTTTTTCATCAATAGACAAAATATGTTACAACTGCTCAATTGTTTCTTATCTAATTGTTGCCTCCTATAACTCTTGCTTTCTATTCTCTCACAATGAAAAAACTCCATATCGCTTACCACTTCCTTCCATGTATCTATGCATAGAATAGTATACAAGAGAAATGTTAGAAATCTCAAAATTTTGAGTAAATAAGAAGAGAGCTCTATTTGTTTTTACATGGCTTGACCCAAAAGGTTGCATTCATTGTTATTAACTTAATTTAAGTGTTATTGATGATAATGACTGATTTTAAGTGAAGTAAAAAGTACATTATTTAGAATTATAACTTGTCCTCCATGGAAGGATGAGAGCTATCCATGTGCTTATTACCTAAAACGAAGATTAAATACATTCGTAGAATCAAGTAGGGCAATTTACAACCCTGCCCCCACAATATGAAAGTACTTAAAAATGGAAAGAATATTAGAACTCGGCTAATTGCTGCCTCTTGTAACTCCAGCAATGAAAAAAACTCCACATGTCGTACCATTTTCCTTCCACGTATCTATGCATAAAATAGTAGAGAAGAAAAGAGAATTGCTAGAAATCTCAAAATTTTTAGCAAATAAGAAGATAACTTTGTTTTTAGGGCTTGACCCAATTTCTTTCTTTTATTCTTTCTAATTTTGGATTTTATTTTTAGAAAGATCATCTATACGGGTAAATAAATAGACACAAACCAAAAGATTGTATTAATTAGAATATAATTAACTTAATTCACGTGTTAATGATAATAATGACGATTTAAAGTTTAAGCAAAAAAAAAAAATACACAATTTATAATTAAAACTTGTCCACCATAGAAGAATGAGAGCAAGGGGTGGGCACGTGGGTGGTTAATCCACGAATTAATATCGATCCACCCGCAAATAACCCGACCTGCAAGCCGTGGGTGGTTGATGTGGGTGGATTGCGGATTGATAAATCTTCCACCCGCACTTATGTGGATGGATGGTGGGTGGATGGCGGGTCCCCGAATAACCCGCATCCTATTTTCACATGACAAAAATGTAGTTTTGACTACTATTATTGGTTATTGTGTTGTGTCATTTTCATTGGATATTGGAATGCAAATTATTGTTAATATCCATTAAATATTGGGATGCAAAATTTAAATTATTAATTTTATCAAAATCACAAAATGCGTAAGTTTTCTCTACACAATTGGTTGATAGAGTAGTAAACAATTTTATGCAAATACTACATGGGTTCAATTGAGACAAAGTGAGAAGTGTTTAAATTGATACCGTCTTACTAATTTCCCATGAACTTATTATAAATATTAGTCAACTTTCTTAATGGCTAGTTGAAGAATTGCTTTTGCAGGTTAACCCACGACCAAACCGCACTCATCAGCGATCCACCAAACCCGACCCGCAGAAGAAAGTGGGTGAATTGCGGGTCACAATTATTCCAACTCGCTAGTAAAAGGGTGGGTCAATTTGAAACGAAAACTCGCCCAACCCGCCCATTACTCACCCCTAATGAGAGCTACCCATATGCTTATGTGGCAAAAATTTAGTTTTGAATTCCTATAAGGATAGCGGGAGAAATTAGACTTTAGAGAGTAATATTGTTCAAGGTAAACTAGCTTTGTCCAGCCGGTTGGTGAATTTTGCGGCTTATTTTATCAATCAAGTTACAATTATTCTTAAACTATTTTTATGTCTTCTAAATTAGTTATGTTTCACAATTCATTTTCAAGAAAAAATTTGTACTCTCTCAAGGTAGGTTTATGAGATTTTAATTAAGGCGTTGTTTAGCAGTTTGTTATTGTTTTCTAAGATTATTACTATACTTTCATTGTTAATTAAGGTGTCTTTAGAAAATCACTTAAAATGAGTGATTGTTATATTTCAGCTTTTAGCTGATGTGACAAACACAGTGGCGTGGCCAGAATTTTATTTAAAAGGGTGCATTAAAATAATTTGTGAACAATTACCCATGATGCGATCTAATGTTTCATTGAAGAAAATTTTATGTCAACATGTTTATTGACAAAAAGTATTAGCAAACTAAACATAATTGCACAAGCAAATACATTGATAGGAATCAATTTTCTCTTCTGTTTGTTATTATCATAGAAAGTTAATGATTTCCTCTAATAATTTGCACCCTCTTTTCAATTCTGATAAACTAGACTGTATTACTGTCGAAATTAATAGATAAAACTAACTTATATAATTGAATGTGGTTGAATTGTAAAATTTGACAAATAACATTAAAATTTGGGGTTCAAATTTATTTATTGGTATATTAATACTACTAAGTTTTGGTATGATTTTAGGGGTTAACTGGGAAATTAATTAGAAGTTTAATTAGATCAATAATTTTCAAGTGTTGTGTGTAAAGAAAAATTAGGGCAAACATTTTTTTGCAAAACAATTTTGGTCTCGAAATTTAAAAAATTATATCGAATAATTTGTATTTAAAAATGATGACGAACTATAAAAAAATTAACATGAACAAATTTGATTAAGATGATGATAAGTAAATTTTTAAGTAATGGAAAACTAAAAAAGAGGAGATCGCTAAATTTGGAGAATGTAGCATTGGAGCAAAAAAGGAAAAAAAAAAAAGGATGATCTCCAAATTTGGGGATAAAGGTTCTCCAAATTTGGCGACTAGCATTGAACTTGACCTTTCTATCTAGCTACACCTTGGGACATACACCACCTTCTCATAAGGTCACTCATCTTTGCACTGAGCCACAGTTAGGGGTGTTCAAATGGTTACCGTGGTAATAGCCAAATCAATTAAGCCTAAATTTCATTAACCATGGAATAAAATGTCTTAACCAAACCGTCCAAATTAACACGAAAACCAAATTAACCAACCCAAAGTTTAATTGGTTTGGTTAATTGGATAATCAGATCAACCAAATAATTAACATAACATTACATGAAAATAGTTATCCTGTTAATGAATAAAATATAACCATGTGTTATTACTATCATAAACTATCATTATATATAAGCAATAATAATAAGACTAACCATCCATGATTATCATCATCATTCGAGTTAATACATCATTCATCATCTCTGCACCTAATATAGTTAGTTTACAACAAACCCTTAACAAAAATATTAAATACATACCAATACCACTCATCAGGAAGTTAAAGCTCCCCTACAAAACACTTAAACTATACATAGTTTGAGGTGGCTGTCATGGTATTTTACGTAATCATAAAGTCTAGTAGCTGTCCAAAATGTTTTGGTTTAGTAAATAGGCAACCCATTTAATTTTTTACCCATAATGCATTGGTTTGTTGTGCACATGAAAATAAAATAGGGAATCACGAAAGTTTGGGTTTGGTTGGTTGCATGAAAGTATAAATAATTTTGTATATTAGGTGTATCATTAACTGGTTAATTGATTTCATTGGTTAGCAGTGTTGAAACAAAACCACCTAAACCAAATAAGCTAAATTGTTTAACCAAACCAAACCAATTATTCAAATTAACCAAACCAAATTAACCAAATGCTACAGGTTAATATGGTTACCACGGTAACCAATTCGTTTGAACACCCCTAGCCACAGTGAGCACATTTAACTATGAGGCTCTTAGAAAAGCTCTTTCATTTCACCCCAACATGCATCTTGTCAATTAAAATCAGTTTATTATTTATGAATCATGGATTTCTCCCGACTTTATCAATGTGAGATTTGCCTAGCGTGTTACATACACCCCCACTTTTGGACTCAACGTCCTCGTTGAGATTTGTCTCACCATCATTAAAGAAGGGGACGAAGATGCTCATATACCACTTGTAACATCCGGAACTTTTCGCGAAAGAACTTGTTCGTTTTTGGCATAAACTCTCACAGAATATCCCTGGAGTGCATATCAATGTAACTTCCCGTAAAGAGCATCGATCCTGACAATACTTCACAATGAATATGTTTAACTTCGAAGTTCTTACAACAACTCTTTAATTTCACTCCAAAACACCTCTGGTTAGTTAAATCTAATTTTTTACTTATAAAGCATGATCTCACCCTTTATCAACGTGTGATTTGCCTAAGATGTTGGGCAAACTTTATAGGCCGAACCTTTGGATGTGTATGGACTATGGAGTTCAAAAAACTCTTTGACATACACATCACAACAATAAAAAATCAAGAATCAACTACCGAAGTTTCGGCAGACAAGGGTGAGGAGGCTCTACCCAGTTTCTCAGCTTTGAATCGCCTCTGCTCAGCAACCATTGAACTGAAAACCTCCAACAGCCCATCCAATCGCTCTTCAGGCTCCTCCCCTGCCGCTTTCAGTGCATAAACGATGCTCTCAATGGTCGACAGACACCCAGCCTTAGGCTGTCGCCTGACATCAGAAAACAAGCTCGACTTCCCCAAATCCAACTTCAGATGCGGCAGAAGCTTCAGCCATGGGTTCTCTTTGTACACTTTCTTGGCCTTGGACCATGTCCCATCCAAAACAATCAGATTCTTCACTTCAAAATTGTTCATCCCACCTCTCAGCTCATCCACGCTCACCACCGATTCATCACTCGGATACAGAAGCACCGACCCTGCAGGAACCTTCAGTTCGAACTCTAGGTACTCTTCCACATTCCCCTCGCTGCCACAGAGCTTCTTCCGCTTGTTAAACTTCCTAACCATAAACCCTTCTCTCATTGCAACTTCAGCGGCTGGTGAAGCCACAATCTCATGGAAGCTCGTTACTTTCTCCCCCATCCATTGACAATCCATGAACTTCCCGCCCTTCCCAATACTCATAGACATGGAAGAACTCGACCCATTGAAATCGAAACCCTCGACTACTTTCCGGTGCCTCCCCGATACTACCCAATCAAGATCCGAGCTTCCCCTGTTCTCGACCGGCTCCAGACCCGAGCCCGGGATCGAGATGACGAACCGGGCGTCGAATTGGACGTCGTAAACAGTGAGCACATCGACATTTTTAAGTCCTATCTTGGCGATTCTTGCGGAATTAATAGGGTGCTTCGTCTCTAAGCTGTGCTGGAGAATGGTGACGCTCACCTTGTTCTCGAAGCTCGGGTACCGCAGCTTGGCGCAGAGGCAGAGGAGGATGGGCCGGGTGCAGGAAGGGCAAGTGGGTCGCTTCGAATTGGACGATCCGGTCACCGCCATTTTTAGGGTTTCCGGAGGACGGCGCCACCAGCTGTGCGAATGGAATGCAGGACGAAGAGGAGAGCAGCGGAGAATCGTGACGTGGTGTGGAGCCCATGGCGGGTTTCGGGTCGGTATCCGGATCCGTATAAGAACCCGCTCGGCCATCGGTTTGATTTCCCGAGTGTTTGGGAATTAATCGGCCTATATAGCCTCAGAGCTACTTCAAAGAAAACGGCGGCGTTTGGGTGGTCAGATTTATCACTGAGGGTACTTTTGGAAATTCGTAAGGCGAGAAGAAGCGGAGCAGTTGACCTGAAAGGAATTCCCACGCGCCACCACCGTGGCAGTTAATAACAGCTCGCTTCTTCTTTTGTTGACATTTCCACAATTTGAAGTTGAACAGAGCGAAAAAGAGAAGAAAAGTGGCGATTTCTTCTTCTTCCTCCTTGATCTGAATGCGAGGTTAGACTTTGAATTTTGAGGCGTCTGAACGAGAAGGAGAAGGAGCGAGAGGAGAAAGGGATAATAAGAAAGGAGGAAAATGCTCGATTTCTGCTTCACGATCCCGTACGGGCTGATTCTAGTGGCAGGGGGAGTGATGGGGTATCTGAAGAAAGGGAGCTTGGCGTCGTTGGGCGGCGGCGCGGGGACTGGTTTTCTACTTATCTTAGCTGGGTATTTGAGTTTGAAAGCTTTCGAGAAGAGAAAGAACAATTACTTCGCTTTAGCCATTGAAACAGGTTCTTGCTTCTGTTCTGTCTCTACTTTTACATTTTCCCCATTTGCTTCACTTGGTTTTCATGGTTAGCTTGGATTTTGTTCTGCTTTCCCTTTTGTTAGATCCTCATTATGTTTTGAATTGAGTGAGGTTCTGGGTTTTTTGTAAAAGGGTATCAAAGATAAATTCTTTGGTTCTTCTGATGTCTGCTTTTGATCTTCTTGGTTGTGAAGATCTAAGGTGTGTTCATTTTTGTCAATTGTTCAGGACATAGCTTGTGATCTGATTTGGAGTTGAGTCGTTGGCCAGTAAATTTGCTTACATTTGATCCATGTTTTGGATGAGATTTTCCGTTCTTTGTGGCCACTTATCTTGCTTTCACACATCTGCAAGATAGATCAGCTGCCTCGTCTATGTTCTCGAACTTGGCACCGTTTCGAGCTTCGTTGCTCAATGATTAACTGGTCTAGACATTATCAGTTTTCCCCATGTGTGCTCGTGTTAGTAGTTAGTCTCTCTTGTCTATTGGTGTAGTAAATCAAACTTTTCCGGTATGATCATGTGATGTACACGGTACACCTGCAGCTTATTATGTTAGAGAATCGGTATAAATCCGTGGTTGTTCTTGTTCTCTGTGTTGTTGATAGTATTGACTATTAAGGAAACGAATGTACACACTGATCAATTTGGTTTGGACCAATACAGTATGTGCTGCTGCTCTGACATTTATCATGGGGCAACGTTACTTGCAAACCTCAAAGATCATGCCTGCTGGTCTCCTTGCTGGTATCAGGTATGGCAAATCCTTCAGGGTTGCAATTTTGGTGTTGGAATTTATGTTTACATCTTCAAATGTTCGCGACATCGATCCTTTGATGGCATCTGTCAGTGTGGTGTTAACTGGACAATGAAATACATAACTACTTCCTGATTTCTTCTCCAAGTTATCCAGAAACCTTTAATAGTGTGAGTGTAGAAGGTAATCTATAGTCGTCGCTGCACAGGATGCCTTGGCAATCTCCTTGTTTAGAATATTCACAGGATACCTTATCAATCCCCATGTTTAGGATATGCACTGGATAAGATGAGGATAAAAGAGGCAGCAGAAATAAAGAGAGGTTTGCAAACCTATTGAAAGATCATCAATTTGTTTATAGTCTGGTAATGGCATCATTGTGGAGTTTTTAAGGCACTTGACATCCCTAGCTGTCACTGATTATCTCTGTAAAATGTATCTTAATTCGTCCAGTTAGATGCTTTAGTTTTCCCAAAGTGCTTAGTCTGTCCTATACAGTTGAGTACCGGGACCATATTGGTCACTAACTAACCCGTTTAAATCTTGTAGCCTCACACTGACACTCTTATGTTTGCTTCCCCCTTTGCAGTGGTCTCATGACTGCATTTTATCTATACAAAGTTGCAACAGGTGGCAACCACATTCCGAGCAAGGCCGAGTAATGGCACAGTGTGACATGCTACAACACTAACCTCAAAATACATACCGAGATTTATGAATTTGGCGATAGCTCTGTATTGAAAACACCCTGAATTTCGTCTGACACATCTGTAGCAGTATTATTCTACATTATCTTTTTATAACCACTTTGAAACCTTCGAAGGTTTGCTTTGCTTTTGTAGAGTACAGTGGTTTGGTACTTGATGTTGTGCTGTGTCACATATAATTCAACTTCAAATGACAAAAATGTACCTCATGGTTTCCCTCTAACGAACTGATTCAATCCTTCAACCATGTGTTATCCTGATCTAAGCCGTGAACTTTATACATTGCCTTTCACTGTTGACAAGAGTCTAAGCCAATACTCACACGCTAAAATGACCATCGCCATAAAGACTTGGTCTCCCTGCGTGTTTAACCTTTCTATCCCTATGAACTAAACTTCTTTTGTTGTCTACAGTCGGTAACCCCTAGAATGCTTGTCTTGGTTCAATTGATTGTTTTGTTCCCGTTAAATGAAACAAGTCTACCACTTGATAACAAATTCGCCATTGTCGTTTCTTTCCAAAGAATCACTTGGATGGATCAGCACCAGATGCTTAGAAGAAGAGAAAGATTCTCACTTCTCAATGAAATTGTTCCCTGTCACCAGGGGAAACATGACGACAGAAGAGACCACCAATCATTCTCTGTTTCATCAACCAAAGCCGGCCAAGTTTCTGGTGGGGATCACAAAGACACTATATTCAACCAATACTCGTAGCTTCCATACTCCAATCGCCATTTGCTGCAGCTTACTTTCCCAACCTATTGCTCTCAATACATTTTTTAATCTTCAACGCTATCACGTTGTAATTATGTTGCGTATTTTTACCCGCCGGTTCATATTGTAGTTGACGATTAATATTTAATACAAATCCAGCCGGCAGTCGGCCTCCACAGAGCGCAAACTACTGTAAGCGATATAATCCTCCCTTCAGGCGGCACCTCATTTCGTAACAAAACCCAGAATCCAGAAAATGGAGCCGACCCTTTTCGCCACCATTTTGATCTGCGTTTTTACTACATTAATCCTTGTGATTGTCAAGTTAAGGAAAAATGAGTACAAGCCCGCGAAAAAACTTCCACTCCCGCCAGGGTCGTTGGGAATACCAGTGATAGGGCAGAGCCTGCAACTCCTGTGGGCGATGAGATCAAACACAGGGGAGAAATGGCTGGAACAGAGGATTCGCAAGTACGGCCCAGTCTCGAAACTGAGCCTGTTCGGGAACCCCAGCGTGTTCATCCACGGCCAGGCCGCGAACAAGCTGGTGTTCTCCGGCGACGGAAGCGCCCTGGCGAGCAGCCAGACGAAGTCGGTGAGGATGGTGCTTGGAGCGCAGAACTTGCTGGAGCTGCGAGGGGACGACCACAAGAGAGTCAGGGGAGCCATGGTTTCGTTCTTGAAGGCAGAGTCGCTCAAGCAGTATGTGGGGAAGATGGACCAGGAGGTCAGGTTGCACATTCAGACTCATTGGAAAGGGAAGCACGAGGTTCAGGTATAACACAGATTAATTATGATGACTGTCTCCTACCTGTTACCGGACTTAGCTAGTGAACCACGTGTCTTCTTTATTTTTTTCTTTGTCGATTTTCCAATCCGTTCTAACGCGGAAATTGTACTCTGTGTAATCATCGATCGAACAGGTTCTGCCGTTGATGAAGGTGCTGACATTCGACATAATCTGCACCATTCTTTTTGGGGTGGAAAGAGGAAGCAGCAGGAGGGCAAAGCTGGTGCAGTACTTCCAGGACATGATACAGGGGATTTGGGCCGTCCCAATCAATCTGCCCTTCACCCGTTACAACCGCAGCATCAGCTCTAGCTCCAAAGTTGATGATATAGTGAATGACCTCATCGCAGAGAAAAGAGCCCAACTCCAGCACGGCGCCGGCGGTCCACGGGACCTCATCACCTCGTTGGTAGACATGAACAACAGCCAGGCCATCAGCGACGGCGAGATCATCGACAACATCAAGCTGGTCATGACGGCCGGCCACGACACTTCCTCTGTGGTCATCACCCTCGTTATGCGCCTTCTGTCCAACCAACCCTCTGTCTGCGCAGCTGTTCTAAAAGGTACTTTTCTCACGACAAGATATGTATTTCTGCTCAGGAAAAGGCCTTTGCTTTGATGGAGTTATTGATTGCTGTCAGGAAACAAATTACTTGATCCCAATAACTTGAGTTAGTTGGAAAATGTGGTTTTAAGATTTTTATATCTTACAACTGCAGAGCAGGAAGATATAGCCAAGAGCAAGAGTGAAGGAGAAACCCTAACGTGGGAGGATCTTGGGAAAATGAAGTACACATGGAGGGTAGCACAAGAGACCATGAGGATGTTCCCTCCAATTTTCGGCGGCTTCAGGAATGCTCTAAAAGACATCGAGTTTGAAGGCTACCTCATCCCCAAAGGATGGCAGGTCATTAGCTTGCTACTGCACCATCATCTTCAAATTCATGAGGGTTCATCCATTTGTTCTGTGTCTGCCCATGGTTTTTTACTCGTTTTGGGGTCTGCTTGTTGTTTCAGGTATTCTGGGCTACGGGATTGACTCACATGGACCAGACAATATTCCCAGAACCGGAGAGATTCGACCCGACGAGATTCGAGAACACGACCTCAGTCCCACCATACTGCTACATACCATTTGGAGGAGGTGCTCGGATATGTCCAGGATATGAGTTTGCCAAGGTTGAAATCCTGGTCGCTATCCATTACATTGTCACTCAGTTTACCTGGAAGATGTGTGCTGATAATCGGTTTAGCCGAGATCCAATGCCGGTTCCGACCAAGGGGCTGCCTATCAAAATCGAGCCCAGGAACAGAAACATCGGTCTCTAACTTTGTATTACTCGAATAGCAGAACTTATGTCACTGTTTGCCTTGCCAAGTTATGGAACTCATGCAGTACGCAAACTACTATAGACTCAAACATCTGTCAGAATATCAACCCCACAAGTTGCCTAAAACATACCATAAAACTCAAAAAGCTGACCACAAGTATCATGAAACGTACTAAAATGACGAGAAACCACACCAGAAATTTCGCAAAGTGGACCACAAGTTTCCTGAAACATACTAGAAAACTTGTGGAAAGCATGAAAAAGGCGAATACTTGATTGCAAAAGTCAATGTCGAGCAAGAGGCGGCCGTTGATGAGCATGAAGACATTAACGGTGACAACATTGATGAATGGTGCCAGAGAGGAAGACGAGGCCACTAGAGAGCATGGATTTTTTCCCCTATCGTACTACTTGGTGATTTTGGATTTTTTTCTGTACACCGACAAGTGGCGACCTTTGAACTTCCCAAGAAACTCTAGTCGTTGCCTCTATACGAGTTTTCACTTCTAGTTACTTGGGCGATCTTAATTATAACACTATATGAATCTAATTAATCATGAAATCATCAAATATTCAACCGTTCTTAATACAAATCCAAAGCATTCAATCCTAAAATATTCATTAATCCATATATAAAACAAAAAAGAGGAAGCGAAGAAGAAATTTTTATATGTGGAAGAGGGTAAGAATTGAAGATCCAGGCATTTGGATTGGTTTGAAATAGTGAAGGCAAACTAAGGAGTAAGAAAAATAAACCAAGTATTGTGAAATCGTACCAGAGGTTATACATCAAAATGTTAGTGTTGTGGTGTTGTACTAAAATCGTGGTATAATAATTTCCTACTGCTAAAATTGCCTACCAATTTGGGTTCAGTATTCGGTATTTCCTGTTCGACCAACCTATATGATAGGGTTTCTTAAACAGTGATATAAACTAGGATGTGATTTTGGTGGCCACTAACTTTTAATCACCCTTCCTATTATTGATAGGTTTCAAAATGACTCTCATATTCTTTTATACATGAAATGTGGGTACGCTTTATTGGCCTAAAATTTCAGTTACTGTTTCAATTTCTGTCGTTTTGTGGCACCGACGAAAGAGCTTCTCGCCCAAAATCTTCCCAATTCTCCCTCATCCAGCGGTGCTTCCGTTCTTCCACCAGCTGCCCATGCCTTCTTTCGCAGCCGTACCCCCAAGATCTGCAGCTGCATGCCTATCCTCTGTTGTGCCAGTGCTTGCCATTCCACTCGGGTTATCCAACTTTCCGGGTCTTCATCGTTGCTGACACACGCCACCGCCCATGATACCTCTTCACAGATGCTCAGGCACGCCAACGCCCATGAATCGGTCAGCTCTCGCCTTACTCCACTCGATCAGGGGGCTACCGTCGCTTAAAGGACAACTTTCTCTTATGGTTCCAATCCCAGTTCAGCTCTACCTCCTTTTCTATTGTTTTCTCACTCTGTTCCCCCTCTACGGACCCAACTCTGCCAATTGGGTCGATGGACACAATCTTCTATGTCGGTGAGCTCTTATAAGTTATATCTGCATTCTTTTGTCGATATTTGTAATTTCACCTTCTTGATTTTGGACTATCGCTGCAGAGCACGCAGGTAGCGATGAAGATTCAGATGATATGGTTTCCTCGAGTTCGTGCTTGAGCCTTAGCCATGGGAAATGGGGAGGGACAACAGGAACCGATGGTGGTGGTGATGGAGCAGCAGGAGGACGAGGTGGGAGTTGGTCGAAGAGCCGATGTTCAATTTGGACGAGGTAAGAAGCTCGACGGCAGCGGAGGAGGGGCTAAAAACCAGAAAGAAAAAGAAAAGCCAAGGAGAGGTATGCAATTTCAGTTCGATTGCCGCCGAAGTTGGAAGGGACACAACTCCCTAGCCTTAGAAAAGTCTGGGCGACGGTGGTGAGTTCTTTTCTTGACTTTTGCATTCACTGTGGATCTTTCTCCTACCGCAACCCCCAAAGTAATGATCATGCTTCTCACTTTTCTTGATTTTTCCTTTTTAATTACCATATTATGGTAATATCTAACAGTGGAGGTGGAAGTACGAGCTTCTATGGAAGTTCAATAACAGGTAGCTTGCTTGATTCACTCCTCTATCTCTTTTATTGTCATATGTTCCAATTTCAGAATATGTTCTAAAGAGATTCATAGTTAACAATGACTTTCTGTCACTGATTCCTAGATAAAAGGAGATTATGATCTTATTGTTAGTGTTTTTTTTATTTACAAAAGGATGATCTTGAGGCGGGTCTGATGCTTCTTTCTATGGCAAAAAGAGATCATTTTGTATCCACCCTCCTCATGTACAAATGAATACTTGGTAAGCTTGAGGGAACTGCTATCTTCATTTTCTGTGTCGCTAGCACTGCATCATTGAGTTTGAACATTTGCTCTCATTCTTGATCAATTTAAAGCTTGAGCTATTCTATAAATAATTACGTAGTTATGGAAATATTAGAATATGAACATGATTTTGGGAGACAGATGATGTTTGTTATTTCAATCACAATTCCCTAATTTTATAGTAAGAGGTTATGGTTTTTCCACATGCTGTTTTTTCTGGGTTCAGACTAAGGTGTTTAATTCTGGAATGGGAGCTGCAGGGCAGCTACGACATACATATTTAGTCAGTTTGCTTGGTTAGTATGACGAAATGCTCAATCATGTAGATGTTTGGACACATTTTCCTCATTACTTTGATTAGTTTGCCTTGCTTTTCATTTAAGTTTCTGCTATTTATATTATGCTTATTCAAACTATCTTATGGAAAGGGAATTGTATTTCTCACTTGCTTTCTTTTGGTCAATTCTGCCTCTTCTTTGATAACTTTTGTGAATGGCTTAGTTACTTTGCTTTACAATCTTCAATTGTGCCTAAGTATGGATTTTGAGATTTCTAAATTTTGTTTGTTCTTCTCTCAGCTGTAACTTACTGTCCTGTTGCTTTCACAGTGCAACACCTACGAATCGACAGAGTTGTGACTCCAGGAAGGACTACTGTGGAGTGTCGGCTGCCCTCTGCTTGGGGCCCTAACCTTGGACGCTCTAGATCTCATCAAAGATGGTGATAATTGATGCCCTGCTGTTAAGGCTACAGATTGAATTTCTAAACTGGATACTGATTGCTTTTTTGTCTGTGTTCTTATCTCGGTAACAGGATATCGGAGGAATTCACGAGGTGGTGGAAAGATGGGGAACGTCGATTCCTCAAAGTGTGAGCTTGCTGCCTTTTTTGATAATTGTGAAAACGACCCAGTATGTTGTGAATGAGCTTTTTCCTTGGGCTTTCAAGTTCAGATTTGTAGTAGCTTCAATTCTGTTGCTGGTTCTGGGGACTGTTGTGCTTCATTGTTGAGGTAAAAACTCTCCAGCATGAACTCCATGAAAGGTTCATCTTCTGATACCAGGGTCATCACTCTCTAGAGATAAAAACTCTTGCAATAGTTGAATCTCTTTCTATACTTTCAATTTTGGGGGACATTGCTTACAACTTAAGTCATTCAGGAACTATATTAATCAGTGGAGAAACAGTAACATAGCTTTTTACAGTGTGCTAATGCAAGCTAGATTGGCAACGGAAAAAGAAAACGTAAGTTGACATGTGTTCAATATCAGGCACTTTTGCTGTGAGCCTGTGACTTCTCATGGTTACCAAAGTATGAGATCTGTTTTATGCTAGCCATTGTTCTGATTCAATTTTTGGTGTTTCTTGAGCTTGAAGTCACCAACTTGGTCTCGAATATTTCAGCTTGCAGATGGGAAGGAAGAGCTTCGTCCAACAAGTTACAGTTGCAAGAACAAATGTGAAGGAGACGAATGATAAAAGTTGTAGGGTAACACTATTTTCCTGGAGGCTTAGCTGCGGTAAGTTTTGTTTTTATTTTTATTGGTCTTGATGTAAACGAATCGGGGTTTAAGATCGTATCTTTGGTCATCAACGTACAATCATTATAGCCACTGCCCACTAGGAATAGCATGCGTACCGTCAATTATGTTTTGGGTCCTTCTCTATATGGAACAAGCAAATGAGTATTTGGATGCATGCTTCGCAGGACAGAAAGCATTCCCGATAAAGAATTCTGGACCCTCTCCAAATCAGTTTGGATGGGCTGGATGATTAAGCGAAGGATATATTTTAGATTTTAATTATCATTTTTTCCATCTCTCCCTTCCCACAACCTCTCTCCCTTTCAATCACATCCATTTTTTTAGATTATTATTTAGTTCATAGAGCTTCAATTGACGAATATGTTTTTGTTTTTCATCTGTAGAATTTCAAATCCAGAGAATACTGAAGCTCTTGGTACTATTGAGGTTATTCACCAACGCAGTAGGCTCGGGCAGCAAGCTTTGGATCTGCATTACCATTTTCCGAATCAAGCTTTGCTTTGGATTCAAGAAGTAGTCGGAGGTGAAGGAAAATCGAGGGAGGATCGAACCTGTTCATAAGGAACGAATCAATTGGATGAATTGAAGGTGGGATGGTGCGGTTATGTGGGTTCTTTTTCTTTCACAATGTTTGTTGTTTCCATGGGATGGACAACATGAAGTCGAGATAAATTAAATTTATTGTACTGTGCCTGTGTTTATTTATCTTCACAATCTTCTAATTTTTCAGTTAGCTAGGAGTTGGAATAGTGAGTTTGGAAACTTTCTTGGGTTGGGAGATATCAATTATCATTAGGGTCTTTATTCCATTATACAACAAACTCACTCAAAATTCGAATTAGCACTTCACGGATAACTATTATGTTATGAATATATTGTTTTTGAAGATGTTAATTACGATTAAAAATTCCCACGGCGTAGCCGTGGGTATTGATTCTAGTATTTATATACAAAGAACTACTCATAGCTGTCACATCGCCATCAAACTCTTAATGGATTTTACTCATACACAATCAATGCATAGATCTCTCACGTTGACTAAGTCAGAAGCTATTAGATACCTACATATACGAATTTGATTGGCATCCCTG